AGGTCTGGTTTTCCAACCGAAGAGCCAAATGGCGCCGACAAGAGAAGCTTAAGTGGGAAATGCAGCTCCCAGGTGATTTCTCTGCAAATCATTCACCTACATACCTACCTACCCTCCCATCCATCCGTCCTTCCGTCCGTCTGTCCATCCATCTGTGCATCCATCCATGCATCCATCCATGCATCCATGCATCCATCCATCCATCCATTCATCCATCCATCCATTCATCCATCCACACACCTCCCATATGCCAGGTTCTATGTTAAGATGCTGCTATTCAGGGCTGGAAAGTCACCCATTTACCAGCCTTTGGATTTAATCTATTTTGTCCAGTGTCCCAAAGCCATGCCTTGGGGAGGGGAGAAGTTTAGGGCTATGTCATCTATCCCTTCCCACTCCTGCAGAAGCTGCCAGAACCTCCCTGCATCTACCCTATACCTCTCACTTGCCACCCCTCTCTCCCAGGCCCTTGCTCCCCTCCCTCCGAGTGAATCCACCCTCACCTTGCAGGTGTTTCCCAGGATCTGAGTGTACAGAGTGCTTCTCCGGGGAACATCTCTGCACAGGTATACAGGAAGAAGGGGAGATTGTCAATGGGAAGACTGACGGGCTCACTGCTTCTCTCACTTCCAGTGGAGACCTGAGCTAAATTCCATGACTCCTCAGGGCATCCCCAGTGCACACTTCCAGAAAGTGGCCTTCGCCTACTCTATGTGAAAGGCGCCTCTGGAGATGTACAGAACACAGCCTGCGTGGTGGGAGCCCTGGGGTCCTGTCCTGCTAAACAGGGAGGCAGCACTGGCAGCTGAGGGCCTCCTCTTGCTTCCTCTAACAGTCCCCTGGCTCAGCGCCCACAGCAGCCCGGCCTGCCTTGGAATCTTTGAGTCCCTGCTGCTATCAGCTGTGCTGGGGGACAGCACCAGACAGATGTCTAAGCGACAGCCCGACCCAAGCCTGTCTCAAGCCCTGCTGGGGTAAGAATCCAGATCAGGAGAGGACCGACTCCTTGACCCACAGGAAAGCATGGCTCTCCATTGGGAGAGGCACCTAGACATAGTTCTCCTTCTTGCATGGCCCACAAAGTTGGGGAGACCAGTATACCCTGAGTCTGTAGTATCATTGACAGCCATGGCAGGAAATGGGAGTGGGTTGGGATTCATGTGTATGTGTTTAGGGTAGAGTGTCGAGGTCTGCCTTTCTCCCCATCAATGACTTTGAGGGGTAGAATGGCAGCAACAGACCCAAGTTCACCCTCTTTTTGTCCCTGCAGGGTGCCTGCCCCCCACAGCTGAGTTCCCTGGATTCTGTCCTTTATCATCCCTGCCCTTCCTTCCACTGCCCCCGCCCCCACCCCCAGTCTTGGCGCCCCTCAGGACTTGTGCCAGTTTGGTTCCCCACTACTGCAAGGCCAGTGATGAGGGGACAAGGTCAGAGTGGGAAGGAAATGGGGTAGGGCGGCTCTAACACGGTCCTGCCCAAGCATCACTACTCCTTCCTCCTGCCCGAGTCTCCTCCTCATCCGTGGGTGCTTCTACCCAGGCCTGGCCCCCCCTCACTGTGCTTCCTGCGAGTCCCGCCAGGAGAGGCTGGAGAAGCAGCGCCCACCGCTTTCACACTGGCCTCGAGGCCACTTGGCAGTAATAAAAACATTTTTAATTATCAGTCCCTGTTGTGCACCACAGTTTTCCATGAGTAGTAATATTCCCACCATACTTTTAATGATGAGAGAGGGTTTGTCTTATCTGCCAATCTATGTATCTGTCATTTATTGAATCTATCTGATCTATGTAATTTTTATTTATCTACCATCTATCTAATGCACCTGTTTATGTAACTATGTACCTAGGCAATGTGTGTAGTATGTAACTACACATGTATTGTATATACACATGTATCAATCTTGGTGTTTGGATGCTCATGCACACACACACACGCACATACACACACACACAGATAATGCATATGGCACATCACCCCTAAGGCCTTCAGCATGCATCTCCAAAAAATAGGGTCTTTTCTTATATAACCACGAAATTTCCACACTAAGACAATAATTTCTAATAATTCCTTAATCTAAAAAAGTAGACAAGGGCCTCAGTTGCACATGTATATTTTGCAGAGCAAGAATGGAAATGGCTTTTCTTCATATTCTGCTTGTCCCTTTGGACATGCTCCTGGGCATGTTTGCTGACTACTTTTTGGCAGTACATCCCACATTTCTCAATTTTTTTCCCCCCGCAGAGAAATCTTCTCAGGCTCCTCCTGGGAAGACTCAGGATGTAGGGAGAGGAATACACAGCAAAGTAGTTGAAGAAGGGGATTTTCAGAATGGAGGTTGGGCTCATTCCTCCAAATTCTTTCCTTTTTGAAGAGCATGAGATGGAATGATGGTGGTGTAAAGTGGGGTGCAGGGGGTAGTGGGGACATTGTTTTTTTACCCCCTTCTCGAACAGAAATGCCTGGACTTGCCACTTCTTTGTCATCCCTGCCCTTCCTTCCAGAGACAGTCTTTTATCTCCAGAGCTGTGCTGTCCAATAAGTAGACACAACTGCATGTGGCTATTTAAATGCAATTTAAATGAAATAAAATGAATAATTCAGCACCTCACTCACACCAGGCACATGGAAAATGCCCAGTAGTCAGTCACATGTGGCAGGCTCTTGTATTGGGCAGTAAAGATTACAGGACATTTCTATCAGCACAGAAAGTTCTACAGGACAGGACAGCCTCAGAATGAAATTCCAACGGGAACAGCATATTCTGTCCCTGCTCTGCCAACTCTACCCTCAACCGTGGACTCTGCTGGACAGACTGTCCAGGAAAGTGGGCGTGGCTTTGTGGGGGTGACAGTCTGCCCACACAGTCTGAGAATAAATAAGCATTGGCTTCAGGGATGAGACGGATGTCAGCAAGGGCAGGAGCTGCCAGCTGAGGCCCACGGCTGAGCACATTTAAGCAGAAGATAGGTGGCCACTTGTGGGGGTTGGGGCAAGAGAGACAGGAGAGGGGGAGAGATGCACGTGTATGGAGTGGTGTATGTAGTTGTGGAATGCTGAGGGACAGACTCTGAGTTAAAATGTCCAAGGGCCCAACACCCTTAAAGAATGAACCCCACAGCACACCTTTGATCAGTTCTTATGTTCCCTGAAATACACCTGGTTTCCAGTATTCTCAAGCTTTACATATTGGATTAAAATTTTTAACACAATTCTTTTACATCTTTTCAGGAGAAACATACAAAACCTAACAAGTAGGACCAAAATAAAAATTTTCTCTTGATACAGTCAAGATCGAAAGGGACTTAAAAGGGCATCATTTTTTTTCACTTGGGACTCAATACTATTTATTTTTAAAGATTTATTTATTTATACATACAAGAACCAGAGTATAGGCCAAAGGTGTTGGGGGTGAGAGGATTCACCAGAGATAGAGTGGGGAGAGCAATCTTGCTATTTTCTGCTTTCAACTTCTCTTGGACTTCAATGGACCTAAAAACTGGGTGCTCATTGTGGTCTGGTGCATTTTTCCCAGAGGAGGGGCCAGCATTTAAGAATATCTTAGGATACAAGTGGATGCTGTTTTAAATAGTATTGAGGGGCCTCCCTGGTGGCACAAAGGTTGTTAAGCACCGCACTATGAAGCAATCCGCAGCCTCTGCAGCACGAGTTCGGACCCCAGCCAGGGAGCAACCACATGGCACAGCAGACCTCTCCTGTCTTGCCCGTTGCTCCCCTCATCAGTGCATTTCAGTCAGTCTGCCTGTTCTGTTCCCCACTCTGTCTCTGGTGAATCCTCTCACCCCCCACCCCCACACCTCTGACCTGTACCCCAGCTCTTGTATGCATAAATTAATAAATCTTTTAAAAAAAATAGTATTGAGTCCAGGCCTCCCTGGTGGCACAAGGGCTAAGGACACAACACTGTCAAGTTATCCCACAGCCACTGCAACATGAGTTCAATCCCCAGTCAGGGAGCTGACCCACCTTTCCTGTCTTGCCCACTGCTCCCCTCAGCCGTGTATTTCAGTAGATCTGCCTGCTCTGCTCCCTACTCTATCTCTGGTGAATCCTCTCACCCCCCATACCTTTGGACTATACCCTGGTTCTTGTATGTATAAATAAATAAATCTTTAAAAATAAATAAATAGTATTGAGTTCCAAGTGAAAAAAATGATGCCCTTTCAACTCCCTTTCAATCCTGACTGTATCAAGGAGAAATTTTTTATTTTGGTCCTACTTGTTAGTGCCTCTGTAACCAGTGGTTGATCCCCTTTTTATTTTATTTTATTTTTTAAAATCTTTTTTTAAAGATTTATTTATGCATACAAGAACTAGGGTTCAGGCCAGAGGTGCAGAGGGTAAGAGGATTCACCAGAGACAGAGTGGAGAACAGAACAGGCACACTGACTGAAGTACACTGCTGAGGGGAGCAGCAGGTGAGTCAGGAGAGGTCTGCTGCACCATGTGGGTTGCTCCCTGGCCGGGGTTTGAACTCGTGCTGCAGTGGCTGTGGATAGCTTCATAGGTTAAGTCTAAACCCCTTGCCCCACCAAGGAGGCCCTGATCCCCTTTTTAAACAGAAGAGGAGCCTTGAGTTCTGTGCCTTGGGCAGGGAAAGGAATTGTAACTAGTATTTAATAACATCACTTTGTTTTCATTGTACTTGTTTTTATGATCACCTTCTATTTATGGCGAGTGATTTTGATCTTCCTTCTTTATGACAGTGATGAAAATATCCCTTTCTAGATAAATGCACTTAAGAGTCTATGTCAATAAAAACATTAATGGGGCAGATGGCAAGTGGACAAAAGCCAAAGCCATGAAGACAGTGTAAGAATGACAGCCACGGAGGAGGCCACATTTGCTGGAGAGAGCAGTGGACATTAGTACTGGAAGACATGAGACCCAGGCATGTGACCTTGGGCAAATCACTTCAGGTCCAGTAAAAGGTGGGCGATGAAGAGGAAAGTACCTGTCAATCCTACTGCCTGGAGACCAGATCGAATGTAATGATACGGTGGGATGTTTGGGCTTTGGGGTGAGGGTGAACAGCTATACAAACAAAGGTGTTAGTTTCATTATCCTGCACCCCAAGGATCAGCCAGCCTTCATTCTTTCTAAAGCAAAAGGACATCTGGTCATTTCTGAATTCGGAACAATTCTGGCTCCTCTTGGGAATATGGGGAGAGTCTAGAGGTTTTGGTGGGGATGGGGAGGAGCAATAGGAGAACCTGTTACCATGTGGTCTCTCTTCATGTGGATAGAACTTAGGGTGGCTGGGCACTTCAGTTGCCACCACATCTAAGCCTCTTTTCTGGACTGAGTCAGATGCACACCAGGGTCTGGGGGTGGCCTTTTGTGCTGTATTGTTGACATTGAAACAGGTGTTTTGCTAAACTGGGTAGGAAAAGTTGTGTAACAGACATTCTGCTCATGGATCTTGACTTTTGAGGTTTCTGTTTTGTTTCCTGTAGTAGTAATCTCTCCTGGAGGATCTGGATTTTGGTAGGTAACATACCACTGACCTGGGGAGGGAAGAAAAAACAGAAACTTTTTGTCAGTCATTTGCTGATCTTTGATTTTTTTTTTTTAAAGATTAATTTATTTATGCATACAAGAACTTGGGTACAGGCCAGAGGTGTGTGTGTGGGGCGGGGGGGGGGGTTGGTGGTGAGAAGATTCACCAGAGACAGAGTGGGGAATAAAACAGGCAGATTCGACTGAAGTACACTGCTGAGGGGAGCAGGGGGCGAATCTGCTGCGCCATGTGGGTCACCTCCCATCAAACTCGTGCTGCAGCGGTTGCGGATAGCTCCATAGGTTGCGTCTTAACACCTTGTGCCACCAGGGAGGCCCTGATCTTTGATTTTTTTTTAGGGGAAAACCAGGTAAGAAGGTAAGATCCTAAAGAAAGAAGAGAATTCAGTGATTTGTCCCATTCTTGATGAGGGAACAAAAGTAGATATATTGGAAATTATAAGAAAAGATGATAAAAATTAATTAAAAAAATTAAATATTAGAGTTCGTAGGGAAGCTGCGTAGACAGGTAAGATTTCCTAAGAATTCAGACTTGATGGGGAAGACTTCTGATAGAATGAGTGTTGGTGCTGGGCTCCCTACTATGCATTTTACAGTCATTATCACATGTAATTATTATTTCATGTAACACAACATGAAAGATAAATGCTATATCCCCATTTCACCCACAAGAAGCACACTTTTGAGCTTCATTTGCCCAAGGCCAAACAATGAATTTAATAAGAATCTAATTAGGACCCAGGACTGAGTCTAGAAATGAGCTCTTCACCATTGCAAGACACTGTCTGCTAGAATGCCAGACCTGAAATAAAAAAAAAAAAAAAGAAAAAGAAATAACAAACCCTTCATGGAATAGATAAGAAAACTGGCCCGTGGGATTTCTTTTATTTTTCCCAGTTTGGCCGCAGAAAAGGGTTTGTGAAGAAAACTGGCAGAAGATGGAAGAAAGGAATAAATACAAATTAACGGGTCTATATTTAATGTGTATTGTCATTTAACCTTCACAAGACCTTCGGAAGTAGATCTTATTCCCAGTATAGGGAGCAGTACAGGTTTTTCGGTCAAAAACAAAATGAAGTAGAAGCAATGGTAGTTAAGGAGCAAGCACTCAGCAGGTATTGTTAAGGAAGTAACCAAGAATTGTTATGGTTTATTTAAAAATGAAAGAGAAGAAAGGGTGATACTGAGGCCACAGGAGGGCAGGGAAGAATCACTGATTCTGAGGGGTAGCTGAGGGCTGATTTTGAGGGGCAGCAGGATGAAATCAACAATCTATCAAGAAGTTGGAGAGAGATGAGGTTAGAGTTCAGGAAAAGGATAAGGGCTGCAGATAAACAACTGGGGCCATCAGCACCCCAAGGATCCAGAGAGGAAGAACAGAGAGTGCATACGGTAGAAAGCACAACCTCAGAGCCACCTGTCTTCCCTAGAAATGGGGTCAAGCTTTATCTTAATGGAGGAAGATACACAAGCACACCCTATCCTGTCCCTTGGAGGTCAGCCTGTGAGCGTGCGGCCATGTGAGCGAATAGTGAGATTTCTCTTCTCTCCAGCAAGTAGAAATTTAGAAACACTAAGAGGAATGGTGCAGACTCCATGTCTGGGCTTGATTAGGTTTTGGTTGAGCTCACAGGCCTCCCAACCACCTCCCTTCTCCTCTCCCCCTCAGGTTCCCGCTCTCCCACTCCAGGCCCTTCCCCACTTTGCTTACCTAAAATTCCCAAATACACTCTTTGGTTATGTCTTGGCTGTCTGCCAACAGGGTACCACTCCGGTCGGATCGCAAGTAGAAGCCGTTGGGAGCGAGCACTGTGAGCAAGTTGCTCCCCTGAAGCTCTATACAAAAGTTGAGGGCAAATTTTCCCCAAGGGCGGAAGGTGCCAAAAGACGTTATTGACCAGAAGGATCCACCCTGTGCTGGGGAGGGAAGAGCTCTGGTTGGTGGGCCATTTGGGAGGGGAGGCCTCTGAGTCGACCGGGGTGTGGGGCGGGTGAGGGTAGAGGGATGATGAGGGATGGGGAGGCAGGTGGGGGTACACATCCCCCTCCTTGACGGGCCTTCCCACCCCATTGGCAGCCTTCTCCACCTCCACGGAAATGCAAGAGGACCAGTGGGGACTCTGCTGATTTCCACTCTGTCAACTCATGCTAAAGTGTGAAAACAAACAGAACCCTGTTTTTCCTACTATGATCAGCAGGCCCTGAGGGGCAGACCCTGACATCTGGGATAGGGCTAGAAGGGGGATCCTGGGGTGAAGAGGAGCTACCCACCCTGGAAGTGGTAGATGCCCTGGCGACAGGGCAGCAGGTGGATGCAGTCGGGGTGATCCATGTTGCACTGCAGGAGGTCGTGTTCTGACGAGGTGCCCACATACCCATAGCGACCTCGCAAGGCAATGAAAGGGCGGTTGGTGAATCGAATCCCAAATTCCTCATTTGGGCCTGGAAGAAATAGGAAGGCGTTATCTAGATAGGCTGCTTTCCCAGATGGGAGCAGGAGTGGGGACACTAATCGCAGAAGGGTGTTGTTGACATGTTAACATCTAATGAACATCTACACCGATCTTATGCGAGGTGCTGCTAGTCATATTTATAAAAAGCTTCTGGTGCAGGGTGGGGCCCAAGAAGTTTTCATATTCTTCCTTCCTTTTTTTTTTTTTTTTAAGATTTATTTATTTTTATACAAGAACTGAGATACAGGCCAGAGGCACCGGGAGGGTGAGAGGATTCACCAGAGACAGAGTGGGGAGCAGAACAGGCAGACAGACCAAAAGCACTGCTGAGGGGAGCAGTGGGCGAGACAGGAGATGTCTGCCTTGCCATGTGGGAATCTCCCTGGCTGGCCAGGAATCGAACCGACACTGCAGAGGCTGTGGACAGCTTCACAGCGCTGCGCTCAACCTGCTGCACCACCAGGAAGGCCCTCTTCCTTCCTTTGATATGTGTAAATCTAGTCCTTGTGATAACCCTGTGAGGCAGGCCGATTGGCTAGCCCCTTCATTTTCACATATACTAAAACTAGGACTTGAAGAGGGAGCTTGCCTGAGTGATGACAAAAATTCAGTGGCTCAGCAAGCATATGGCCCTCAACTCCAGTGTTCTTGCTGTCATATCTCAGCTCCCTTTCAAAGGATCCCTGACTTGGAAAGGGGGCTGCTCTGCCTACCTGGAATGCTGGCATTGGCCATCAGCAGACCACCAGCTACGATACTCAGGAAACGGCCGTTGGGGGACTGCAGGATGAGCTTGCCACAATTCCAGTGAATGCGGAAGAAGGTGTCAGACTCCATTGGGTGACCATCTGCCATCACAGTCCTGTGGTGCCTCTGGAGAGAATATTCGGAAGAGGGACAGGAGCAATAATCTCAGACTTCTTCCCATTATTATTTTTTTTTAAAGATTTACTTATTTATTTATACAAGCACTGGGTACAGTCAGAAGTGCGGGAGGGTGAGAGAATTCACCAGAGCCAGAGCGGGGAGCAGAGCAGGCAGAAGGACCGAAGTACACTGCTAAGGGGAGCAGCGGGCGGCAGGAGAGGCCTACGTGCCATGCGGGACCCTTCTCTGGTGACTGGGGAGCAGCCAGGGATCGAATCGGCACCACAGAGGCTATGGGCAGCTTCGCAACCCAGCACTTAACCACTGTGCCACCAGGGAGGCCCCTCTTCCCATCATTTTTATTCCTAGACTCTCCACACTTCCCACCCCCCAGCATTTTCTTTTATTCTTCCAAGCATGCTTTATGTATCCTTTTTTGAAAGATCTGTGGTCTAGCTCTGCCACTAGCCCAGTCCATGCTATGCCCAGAGCCTAGTGTTAAAAAGGGACCTGGTATCCATAGGGAGAGAAATGAGCCTTGGTCCTGACTCCCAACCAAATCATTTCAAAAATGGATCACAAACATAAAAGTGAAAGCAAACCTATAAAACATTTAGAAGAAAATACAGGAGAATCATTTCAAAAATGGATCACAGACATAAAAATGAAAGCAAAGCTATAAAGCATTTAGAAGAAAACACAGGAGAAATTCACTGCAACTTTGGGGTAGACAATGATTTCTTGAGACCTAAACACACTAACCATTTGTAAAGTGGACAAATGGATCTCACCAAAATTTAAAACTTGTTACTCATTGGACTATTGGTCCAATGAAAAGACAAACTACCCATTGGGAGAAAATGTATTATGAATATATGTATGAATATAATACCTACATTTGGCAAAGGGCTGAACTTTAGAACAAATAAAGAACTCTTACAATGCAATTATATTGTCAAAAGATTAAAACATACACCTCAAAGAAAAAATATAAATCATCAATAAAGACATGCAAAGATGTTTGACATTTTTGATTATAGGGGAAATGCAAATGAAAGCCACAATAAGATACCACTACACACCCACGAAAGTGGCTAAAATGAAAAAAAAACAACCCAAATGTTGGAACAGTTGGTAAGGATGTGGAACAATTATAACACTGATAATATTACTGTCATACATAATGTGTCAGAGTAGTCCTAAATGATTACAATTTACCATGTTAAAAAGGTACTGTCACTTTAGAAATGTTTAAACAATGTTTGACATATTTTTATGAAGTGAAACACATTTCTCATATGATCCATACGATCCAGTAATTCCACTTCTAGGTATTTACCCAAATAAACGAAAAGACAGGCCTGTAAAAATAGTTGTACATGAACACAGTATGAATATTATGGAACACTACTCAGCAATAAAAAGGAATGAACCTCTGATAAGACCTGCAATAATGCGAGTACATTTCAAAACTGTTATGCCAAATGAAAGTATAAATATCACACATATTGGATGAGTCCATTTATATGAAATTCTAGAGTGGGCAGATCTAATCTATAGCGACAGAAGATAGATGGGTGGTAGTGTGTGGGGGTGTGGAGAACTGACTGCAAAGGGGCAAGAGGGAAGTTCTGTAGTGATGGAAATATCCCCAGACTTGTGATACAGTTGCAATATGGTTGCATGTTTGTTAATTCTCAATACATTATACACTTAATTTGGATACATTTTATTGCCTATAAATTGTGCCTCCATAAAGTTGATTTGAAAATAAAAGAGACCCTATTGGATGAAAATGGGCGCATTTGATGAAAATGAATGTTGATTGACAAAGGCCTCCATAGCTGGCTTCAGCACCTGCTCATCTGCCTTGAAGGAGGCCCGAGTGGGTCTCAAGGGATTAGCTCCTGGATTAGCTCAGAAGGTCTCACCTGGGCTAGGTAGCAGCCATTTGCTGAACGAAGCTGCAAGGTGGGGCTCTCACTGTCACATTCAAACTGGAACATGGACATTGGGGTTAAGTGCTCAGAGGCAGCATATACCTCAACACCTGCAGAGAAAGTGCTTGTCAGAAGAAGGCTGAGTCTGGCCTCATCCTCTGTCTCAGTCCCTCCACCACCCTTTCTGGCTGGGGTTCCCTCAGCTTTCCCTCCTCAGCCTTCAGCCCCTTCTACCGAACCATAGTAGCCTGGAAAAGGCCTGGCCATTTTCCTCCAAAGCCCATGTCCCTGCTTTCCACCCTTCTCCATGGCACAGGAGAGCCTCTTGAGACTCCAGGATCTTCCCTATCAGCAGGTTCAAAGATCCTCACTGATCCCAAACCCATTTTCCCATTTCAGCAGTCAGCAATCCCTCCCTCCACAGGGGTGTTGGCACCAGCACTTGCCATAAATGACAGAGATGAACTTGCGAGTCTTTGACCTGAGGCTGACCCAGGTAGGACAGTGTCTGAGGATGAACCACTCCTCGCCCCTTCGGGGATTGGAGCCCATGCCCAGGAGCACACGTGCCCCCTGGGGATACAGCATTCCTCCCTCTCCATCACTCAGTGCCACGAGCCCTCCAGGCCGCACTTGCATGTGAAAAGCTGTCTGTGCCGAGGGCTGTGAGACCAGCCGGTCTACGTGAGACACAAAGTAGTGTGTTGAGGTCTCCAGGTGGTAGCATCCATCTTGGAAATGCAACAGGAAGCCACATTCCTCCAGGTAGGGAATAGGCGCGTCCACCCAGACGCGGCCCACTGTGGGGTCAGCCCGCACATAGCAGTGGGTGCAGGGGCTGTAGAGGATCACGTGGACATGCAGGGCTGGTCGGGGTGTCCACAAGTGGTAAGCCGAGAGGACACGAGAGTTGCAGAACACGTCCTCGCCATCAGACTCCAGATAACGACCACTGATGATGCACTGTAGGGTCCACTTGCCATTGCGATGGAATCGGAGCAGAAAGCACCCATGGTGGCTGGCCTTTGGCCGACCGTAGCAGAGAGAGCCATCTCCCTCACACAGAAGGTAGAGACCCTGCAAGCTCCTGAGTCGTACTATGGCCTGTGTCTCGTGCTCATTGCTCACCAGGACCTCCCATGTCTAGAGGCGTAGGAGGGAGAAGTGGGACATTAGTCCAGCCTAGTTTGACACTGAGTTCACCCAACACCTTCTTGGAGACCAACCACCTTCCTCTCCACAGTGGCCTCCTTGTTTCAGCTCTCCCATGCTCCCAATAGTAAAGATTTCAGGGTTCCTCTGCCACAGGAAGTATAGGGTTTCTCAAGTTCCTAAGAGAAGCTCTAGATGCCCACCTCCTCCAGCTAACAGAAGGCAAACCTCTCTTCCTTGACCTTTTCCTTCAACACCTAATTTTTGAAGACATGATTTGGCAGAAGTAAGACATGAGGTCTTACTTTCCTCCTCATTATAGCTCCTGGAGAGCACACTCACTCAACATGGCCATCCCCAAAGGTCACCTTCCCAACAAGGCAGACCTGGGCTCCAGCAGTGAGGGTGGGAGCCCAGAAAGTGGAGATGCTATTGTCTGGTTAGCTGTTACAAGTGAGAAGTCCTACTCTGCCTCCCTCTGTAGTACCATCTTAGGTGTTGGGATGTGGGTAAGAAGCAGCCTGAGAAAGACAAGGCAGCAAGATCAGGGCTGAGGAGTTACCTTATGGAATAGGTTGAGAGATGGGGAGATAGAGCCATGGAGACCTGTGCACAAAAACCTGGGGTAGAAGGGTCTTGACCTGGCAATGACTGAGGCTAGGAAAACCATTAGTTTGGGAATGCACATCTGTGTGACTCCCCCAGCCCCATACACATACACACACACACACACACACACACACACACACACACACACACGTGCACACAGGAGAACCTGCCACTGGGAAACTGGTTCCAGTATAGGTCAGCTTACCTGTCTCCGGCCCAAACCCTTTGCAGTAGCAGTGACTGTACCCTTATATGTATCAAAAGTTAGGTAATTTCCTGCCCAGCTAATGAGTCCAACCCTTAGGTCCTCAGCCTTGGGTTGTCTTTGCGTCCACTCCACCTCATCCATGGGACCGGCACCACAGGTGATGACTCCCTCCGGCCCAGCCTTCCCCCCAGTGGTGAGGTCTCACAGGCCATAGGGCCTGAATAAAGGCCCAAAGTGCCCACTGGAAGACGTTCCCAGAGGGAACTTCCCAGGCAGACTGGCCCAGGCTCAGTGCCTCTGTGACCCGGGCGCATTGTGACTGTGAGGGCTGTGGCTTATCCCACCAGCAGGGAAAGGGCACTGGCCCGGCAAGGCAAGATTAATCCATGACCCAGAGCAAATGGGTCCAGGGCCTCTGGCATTGACTTCCCCAGGCCACTCCAGGCACAGAGGAAGGCTGAGCTAAGACTGGGAACCAGAACTTCAGCTGGGATTCAGGCAAGCCCCTCCTTTTCCTGTTTCTCATTTTAACAATTTAGAAACCAACCTCTTTCCTCCCTAGGAAGTGGGTTAGACCTGGCCACCTTGCAGCTCAAGCGTTTCTGGAACCCAAGATATCCAAGGAAAATATGTTAATGCTTACAGCCCTTGGGAGGATGAGATCAAAATGTCTCAGAAGATGCTTTTCAGGGAGAGTGAGGAAGCCCTGGACAGGTAATGACAACGGGCAAGGGTCGAATTACTCACATTCATGAGAAAGGAGCACAGCCTAGGTGGGGAGAACACGGGCCCCAGATCCTCATCCCCAGTGGCACTGCTGCTGGGCGGTCGGCCAGCCCCATGTCTAAGGATCCCAGATGGCCCCCATCCACCCTCAGGGCCTCTGTGGCCAATAGCTTCTGGGACTCGTATCCTACAAATTTTATTGATAAAACCAGCTTCAAAACTGGAGAAACTAACAAACTGAAAGAAAAAGGGAGAAAGACAAAAGCATGGCAGTGATACTAGGTGGGTTTTGTTAAGCTTTGCTGGGATCCACAGGGAAACGTGCAGTGAAGCCCGCTTGGAGAACACACCCACAGCCCTGGCTCCCTCTGCGTCTTGCCTACTCCCCACAGGTGTGTCTTCTCAGGTAGAGTGGCACACAGTGAGGAGCCGTAATCCCCAAGGTGCTACCGATGGTTTATAATATGAGCCTAATAGATGACTGGCGCCGAATCACCGGGGTAATTTAAAGATGAATATTCTCAGGCTTCAGACTAGAATCACATTTTCCAAGTTGTCTCAGCGCCCCTCGTTTTAAACAAGTATTCCCTCCCCTTCAAATTTTAATGTGCACAGTAATCAAGAACTGCTGAGAACCACGGCTCTAAAAAGCTAGGAGATGGACAAGAAACGGGAGTCATGTGGTTTACAGAACCATGGAGAGAGATCCTGTAACATTCAGGAATGTTCCCTTGGAATGGAGACTGAACGGGATTTCCTCCACTGGAACTTGATGCTGGTACTTCTAGCATTAAGAATAAGGAGAGAAAAGCTGAGCTAGGCGAAGGCAGCAATGTGTATGCTTGCTGGGGGAGAAGAGGCCTTAGCTGCTTTGAGCACCTCCATATTGTCTCTTGGCACCCAATACCCCAGCAACGCCACCCCTCCCGCTTCTAAGCTACAGACAACACCATGTACAAACCACAGCAAATTTATTACTCAATATCCAGTGCCACATCATAGCACCACCCGGAGCCCCCACTTTCCTCCCCACCTGGCCCCAAGGGTACACGCGAAATGGAAAAAACAAAAAGTAAACCCAGATCCCTGCTCCTTCTCTGGAAGAAGGGGCCTTGGCCCTGGAGCCCCTTCCACACGTCCCAGAAGGCGGGAGAGCAGACCCCTCCGTGCCTAGAGAGCGAGGCTTGAGGCTCCAACAACAGAACATGCAGGTAGGAGCAGGAGCAGAGGCCCGTGTGTGGGGAGAGGTGTGAGAGGGAGGGGCACTGCCTGAGGAGTCCGGGAGTCTGGTCCTCCCTGGGATGCACGCGGGAGCTTCCGGGCAGCAGGGGCCGGCCCCTGGTTGGTTAGCGCTTCGACAGCTCGTGGGACAGCCAGTCCAACCCATCGTACAGGCCTGTGCCTTGGGTAGCACAGGTGGCCTGGACGTACCACTGTGGGGAGAAGGAAAGAGGTCAGTAGCAGGGAAGAAAGTGGGGGCTCTTACTTCCTGCCCCAGCCTATGGCTCTCTTGGGAGAGGAAGGACTCGCACCGTGCGGCTGCGTAAGTGCTGCAGCCCCAGCTTGTCCGTCAGCTCGCTCACAGGCATGGCGTTGGGCATGTCCTGCTTGTTGGCAAACACCAGCAGCACCGCATCCCGCAGCTCGTCCTCCTGCAGCTGAAAGAGGTGAAGGGAGTAGAATCTGTGGTCCCAGGGGTTCCCTAGGCTTCCCCCTCCTTGCTGGGTATGGGGAGCCCCCTTTTCTACCTTTGAGTTTACTTGTGGAAAAAATATATTAGTGTGTAGTCTACTGCTAAACACAAGACACAGAGTCATAAATAAGCTTGAGACCATCTAGGCCTTATGTCCAGAAAGGGTGAGATTCAAATTTGAGTATGTAGTCAAATGACAAAGGTGCTAAAGAAATACCAAGAATGTAAGACGATATCTGCACCACATATCATTTCCCTTCTCCCCACCCATTTCTAGACTCAAATGTAGAGGCGGAATAACTCAAGGAAAAAGTCAATTTATACTATTTAACTTGATCCAAATTCAAAATGGGATGAGATACAACTGTATCTGTGTCCACAAAGAGAAACACATTTCTCTGCCTTCAAAATCTGTGGACCATTCCCCACCAGCACAGAGGTCTCTCCCAAACCAAGGGCTCAGTTCCCAGGGCTCTGGGTGCTCACCATCTTCTGGAGTTCATCAGCAGATTCCTGGACCCGCTCCCGGTCATTACTGTCCACCACAAAGATGAGGCCCTGAGAGGTAGAGGAGAAGGGAGGGCGGACAATCACTCTTGCTTCGGACATACCCTGTCTGCCTCTCTTTTCTTCTTCCACGCTTTCATTGTGTCTAAACCCTTGTCCTCTAGCAAACTTCCACTAAGGCTCTGTGATGTCCTGGGCAGAAACTGGAGACACTCTGCAAGGGAGTACAGCCCCTGTCCTCAGGCAAGCAGACTCCTTAAAAGACAGGCAACAAAACAGGAAAGACAAGTGATGGGAGCTAACCAGGCTGTGAGGAGCCAGGGCTTTGCTTTTAAAGTCTAAGGTGGCTAAGCCTCAGATGACCAAGGTCAACCTGAAGAGCAAAGCTACTCTATAAAAGGGTAGGGAGTAGAAGGGGGTATTTTTTTCCTGGTCTTGGAACCCAAGCAAGCCTAACATCTCTTCCTAATCCTCCGCATCCCTAAAGCCACCTCTCCTGGGTGTGGGGAGCCCCCCATCTCCTCTCTACCTGAGTGTTCTGGAAGTAGTGCCGCCACAGCGGGCGAATCTTGTCCTGGCCTCCCACGTCCCAGACTGTGAAACAGATGTTCTTGTATTCCACTGTTTCCACGTTGAAGCCTGCAAATAATTGGAAAAAATAGGAGGAAAAAGTCCTGAAAGGAAGGAAGTCACTGAAACTCCTGGGCCTCCTTAGGGACCCACACCGGGAAGGCCAGTGTCCAGGCCCTTGGACAGCACAGCTCGGGGCCGGCCGCGCGGGGATCCAGTGAGCCGCTTCTCAAGTGGCTGGATCTGGTGTCGGGTCGGCGCCCGCTCCCGGCAGAACCCGGTGCCGACGCCCAGGCCCGCCGGCGCCTCCCGGGCTCGTCCCGCACTCACCTATGGTGGGGATGGTGGTGACGATCTCCCCTAACTTCAATTTGTACAGGATCGTGGTCTTGCCGGCCGCGTCCAAGCCGACTGCAACGGAGAGGGGTCAGGGCTGCGGGCGGGCGCGCGGGAGCCCCCTAGAGCCCAGCGCGGGGGACAGGCCCGGGCGCCGCCGCGATGCGGGCGCAGCGCCCGGCGCCTCCAGGTGCGCGCGGGGCTCCACCTCCGGGCCTCGAGGGCGGTGCGGCCGGGGAGCCGGCTGCCCCCCGCGGGCGAGGCCGTGGAGGCCCGGGGCGAGGGGCCGCGAGGGCCGCGCGCCCTAAAAAGTCGCCTCCAAGGGCGGAATCCTCCCTCTCCCCCGCCGGGCTGCACCCCGCCCAGGCCCGCAGCCCCGGCTCTCGGGCCCGGGGGCGGCTCTGCAGCCCGGGCCGCCCCGAGCCGCGGCCGCGGGGCGAGACGGGGTGCGGCGGGGTGAGGCGGGGATGGGGGGCGCGGGGACCGGCGCCGGCCGCGGGGCGCGGGGGCGGGGGGCTGCGGGGGGCTGCGGGGGCCGGCGCCCCGTCCCGGCCGCGCCCGATCTGCCTCACCCATGAGGATCCGCATCTGCTTCTTGCCGAAGATCCGCGAGAAGAGCGCGGACACCGTGAGGCCCATGGCGGGGCCCGGGGGCGGGGGCGCGGGCGCGGGCGCAGGGTGCGGGCAGGAACCGACCGGCCGCGGGGGGATGGGGCGCAGCAGCGGGAGGAGGAGGGGGAGGCGCTGTCGCCGCCGCCTCCGCGCGTCCGGGCCCGCCCTACGTCACCGCGGCCCCGCCCCGGCCCCGCCCCGGCCGGCCCCGCCCCCGGCCGGCCCCGCCCCCGGCCCCGCCCCCCGGCTCCGGCTTCTGGGGAAACTCAAGTCCAGCGAGCGTCCCAGGCGGGCTGGTGGGGCCCGCGCCCGCTTGCAAAGGGGGAAAGGATCTGGTCTCCGGGTTTTTAGTGTTTCTGCCCGATGTTTGGCTGTTGAGCCGGCAGCCCGCGCGGGGTTGAGGAAAGCGTTCAATGCTCCACAATGGCTTCCTGCACCCCCTTCTTCAGAGGTTGCGTTCTTTGGTTTGTTGCGTCCAGCTCACTCTGGGCTCCGGTTTAAGGTTTCGTAACTAGCAGTGTCGACTGTGTGCACGACGCCCCGGGGGGAGGGGATGCTCTGTGCAAGTGTCTTAGATCTTCCTTTTGCACTCTCAACTCCCAGCAAGGGACTTTGCTCCTATTAGGTGTTTCAGTGACCTAGTATCTCAAGAGAATGCAAGAGGTGGGAGAAGCCCAAGTGCTAGCTGGCCTTCGAGGTTCCTTAAAAAGCTGCTTCAGGGCCTCCCCGGTGGCGCAGCGGTTGAGCGCTGGGTTGCGAAGCTGCCCGCGGCCTCTGCGGTGCCGGTTCGATCCCCGGCTGCTCCCCGGCCACCGGAGGAGGGTCCCACATGGCGCGCAGACCTCTCCTGCCACCCGCTGCTCCCCTCAGCAGTGTACTTCGGTCCTTCTGCCTGCTCTGCTCCCCGCTCTGGCTCTGGTGAATTCTCTCACCCTCCCGTGCTTCTGACTGTACCCAGTGCATGTATAAACAAAAAACAAACAAATAAATAATAAATAAATAAAAACATGCCTCTATAAAAAAAAAAAAAAGTTAAAAAAAAAAAAAAGCTGCTTCATAGGCCCCCCTCCCCAATCAAAAGATGACCATCTCTGGCCTTCGTGGTCAGACACCCTACTCCTGCAGACTGGAGAACTCCTTCTTCTCTTCAATGGCCCTGGAAGCGATGCCTTTCAGTTGACCCAAGCAGACTTTCTGAAGCTCCTTTCTCACTTTGCCACAGATCTGGAAACTTGGATTATTAACACACAGCTACGGAGGATTTTGTGAGACATTTGCTGCCCAAGACCCAAGTAATCTGAGGGGTTATAGTAAAATAGAAATTTAAATTTCGTCTATGGTAGAGACAGGGTCCATTATGTTTAGCAAATGCTTGCTGGGATAAAGTGGATTGACTGGTTTACTCAGTGGAGCAAGGGCTGGTGTTCTGCCTATTAAGGATTCTTAGTGGGAATTCAGTTGCTTATGGACTGGACATGGTGAGGTTAGCTGGGAATCATCCATTCATTGTTTCATTCAATGGATATTTACTGAGTACCCACTATGTGCCTTTGTTCCGAGTATCAGTTCTTTTTTCTTTTTTGAAGGTTTGCCTTCAATAATCCTCACAACTTGTCATTTTGTCATTTGTAAAAGATGATTCATATCTGCCCTCACTATCACTTGAAGTTATAGCGAAGATTGAGAAGATAATATATCTGACCTGCAAAATTCTATAAAGACTTGGGGCACCAGGCATGACTGAGTGCATGGCATTCCTTTACTCTCCAGTCATAAACTCACATTCCTCAGAATTCTATTACTAGGCTGAAAAGTAGACTTAAATGTGTATAATAACACAAGCAGTGGTCACCAAGTCAGATCAGGTCTTTAGCTCTGTCCATCCCTGTTGCCACTGCCCTATTTCACTACCTCTTCTTCCCATGATTAACAACCTCCTGTGTCTACTGACCCTAGGGATCTTCTGACCCTTTCATGAAAATGTTAATGGTACCGCTTTTGAGATTAAAATCCTTAGTGTCATATCAGATAAAATCTAAATGCCTTGATTTGGGTCTTCACTTACTGTGACACTCTCATCTGTTACCACCTCCTTCATATAGATTAAGCTACTACCTTGAGATGATTCTTAATGTTTCCTGGGTGAGTCAGGCTCTCTTAAGACCCCAGGAGTCCTTTTATCTTTCCGCCTAGAATGCATGTTTCCTTTATTTCTAGTTAGATAGGCAATCACTACTCAATCCTGCAAATTCCAGTGTATTTTTCCTGAGAGCCTTTTCTGCCTTCACTAAACAAGCCTCCCTCCTCTTAACTTCCACATCACTTTGGGTGTACTCAAGACATACTGGCATGCTAGTACGACGTGTGTTTGTATGTCTGGTTCCTCACGAGAAGTGAGCTCCTTGAGGGCAGGACCTTCTCTTTACCGTCCCTGGAACAGTACTTGGTATGTTCAAAGTAGGACTGACCTGGACAGGATTTCTAATTAATCTCTCCATGCCTTGTCTTCCATACCTGTGAAAAATTGTGCTAATAATACCCACCAAACAGAATTACTGTAAAGTCTAAAGAGCACAACGCCTGAGAAGCTCCTGGAATGTGGCTGGCACTTGCAACGGAGAGCTTGAATACAAAGCGCCCTCTCTATGAATTTAATCGATTCAGCAGAGCTCAGAATGAGTGCTAATTATTTTACTATATGTCTACTAGGTTCCCAACACTGTCCTAGGAAGTGTTGCAGTTTTTTCGTGGGCTAAATGGGACTCTTAATGGTTGCTCTGTAGGGACAAAAGGACTGAGCAGTCAAAGGCGTCGCTCACGGGGTGTTTGGTGAGGACTCAGGACACGTCATCGCTCGCTGACCGTAGGTCGAAGGAGAGCTCAGGCGCCCTCACCCAAACCTTAGCCCCGTGTCCTTGACTTTGCTTGCTCGACTCTTCCAAAGAGGCGTCGGCTGGAAGCCATGCTGGGCGCGGATCCCCGCACCCGGCAACCCTGGAGCTGAAGGGGCTCCGCCCCCCCCCACCCCCGGCCCACGGTGGGGGGGGGCAGGGGGCGGACCCTTGGCGCGGTGTGACGTCACTTCCAGCGGACCCGGAAGCGTCGTTGCTGGTTGGCTGCTGTAGTTAGGAAGTCGTAATGGACCTGAGCTTACATTAAACCCTTGGCGGACCGTGGGCCCAGGAGCCGGGCCGGGCCTGCTGTGGCCTGGGTGAGCACGGACAGCAGAGCGCCTTCTGGGCTAGTACCTGCGAGCCCCCGGCAGTGCATTCCCCCGGGGCCGGGTCGCCCCGCCTTCAGTACAGGACCCCGCCTCCTCCTGTCGGGGCCTGGGACCTTGGGGGTGCTTCTGCCCGGCTCCCCGGGCGCCGCGCATCCGGCCTCCGCCAGCTGCCAAGCGCTGGTGTGCGGTAAGCCAGCTCTCTCCCCTTGGTTTACAGACCCCGCCAGCGTCTTTTCCACCCTCTTCAGGGCTTCCCGAACGCTGACGTGGAGCACCCGGTTCTGAATCCCTATGGAGAAGTTTGGGATGAGTTTCGGAGGCGGCCCGAGCAAGAAGGACCTGCTGGAGACTATAGAGACTCAGAAGAAACAGCTCCTCCAGTACCAGGCACGTCTCAAGGATGTGGTCCGTGCCTATAAAAGCCTGTTGAAAGAGAAAGAGGCTCTCGAGGCCAGCATCAAGGTGCTGTCAGTATCCCACGAGGCGGATTTGGGCCTTGCAGGTGTCCAGCCTCCAGGCCTCTCCTTTCCTGACTCCGTGGACGACCGGTGCTCCACTCATAGCGAGGATAGCACCGGGACCGCCACCAGCTTGGATACTGCGGCCAGTCTCACCAGCACCAAGGGTGAGTTTGGGTTAGAAGATGACAGACTGGCCCGTGGACCACCACCTCCAAAGTCTGAAGAGGCCAGCGGGTCGGAGAGTGGCGTTAGCAGTAGCAGTGGGGATGGGCTACCTGGGGGTGGGGAGGTAGATAAACGACTTCACCAGCTGAAGACTCAGTTGGCTACTTTGACCAGCTCTTTGGCTACAGTCACCCAGGAGAAGTCTCGCATGGAGGCTTCTTACCTGGCTGACAAGAAGAAGATGAAACAGGACTTAGAGGATGCTAGTAAAAAGGCAGAGGAGGAGAGGAGCCGTCTGGAGGGAGAATTGAAGGGACTGCAGGAGCAGATAGCAGAAACCAAAGCCCGTCTTATCACACAACAGCATGATCGGGCCCAAGAGCAGAGTGACCATGCCTTGATGCTGCGTGAGCTCCAGAAACTGCTGCAGGAGGAAAGGACCCAGCGTCAGGACTTGGAGCTTCGGTTAGAAGAGACCCGAGAGACCCTGGCAGGGCGGACATTTGCAGCCGATCAGATGGAAGGGTTTGAACTGCAGACCAAGCAGCTGACTCGAGAGGTGGAGGAGCTGAAAGGTGAGCTACAAGCTCTTCGAGATGAGAAGAATCGGCCAGACCCCCGACTGCAGGAGCTTCAGGAGGAGGCCGCCTGCCTTAAGAGCCATTTCCAGGCTCAGTTGCAGCAGGAAATGAGGAAGGTAATTGTCTTCATCTCCTTCAGACATCAGCATTTAGCCTGAAGTGGGAAATATATTAGGGTTTTTTCTCCTTTGGTAGCTAGAGCTAAGTGACTGTACTGTCATTTTTGATATGGTTCAAAAAGTTCCACTCATGAGTCCTGGGAAATCCTGTTTTGTGCAGTGTTGACAGGATCCACAGAGTGTGTTTCCAACAGGATGTGGATTTTCAGGGTGTAGGCTAGGTGGCTGCCAGGTAACTCTGGCTTCTGGGTGTTGGGATCTGACCTGTTGTGCTTTTGAGAGCAATGTAGTGGCAGCTGTGCAGTGAGTTTGTACGTGTATTTTTTTTTTTCCCCAGGTAGTATATATTCTTTTAGGTATATGTCTATATATAGGTAGATATGTATGCCTATAGGCAGGGTGGCTGAAGGAGCCAAAGGTTATTTTCTCACAAGAAATGTCTCTTCTGGGGGTCTCCCTGATGGTGCAAGGGGTTAAGACGCAACCTATGAAGCTGTTGGCAGCCATGCAGCACAATTTTGATCCCCGGCCAGATAGGGAGCTGCCCACATGGCGCAGCAGACCTCTCCTGACTCGCCCGCTGCTCCCCTCAGCAGTGTATTTCAGTCACTCTGCCTATTCTGTTCCCCACTCTGTCTCTGGTGAATCCTCTTACCCCCCACACCTCTGGCCTGTATCCCAGCTCCTGTATGCATAAATAAATAAATCTTAAAAAAAAAAAAAAAAAAAGAAATGTCTCTTCTAATTGCTTTCAGTCAAAGGTATGCTATTTTACAGTGTCTCCTTTGAGTGTGGCAAGAGACTCAAGTCAGTTTTGAATTTCCAGGAATGTTAGAAGAGGTAAAGAATGTAGTATGATTTCCTAATAGGATTTGGGGAAGCACATGATAAAAAAGGTAACACTCTTGATACGTGAGCTCAGTGTATGGTAGGAGAAAGTGGAAAAAGTAAAGCACGAATAGCAGAACCACAAAGTTGCTTGATATTACTTGGTATAATATGTGTCCTGGAGCAGAACCTTAGCAGGCTACAGGAACTTTTAGTTTGCTCCTGAATCAACAGAAAAATCCCCAGTGTCCATTCTTGCTAGGCTAACCCAAACCTATAAACATCTCATTCTTTTACTTTCTCAAAGTTTGCTTTAGGGCTCTGTGACTTCTCTGGATGTATTTCCCTTATTTTACAGACAGCCCTTGCCGAGGATCAACTGCGCCAGCAATCTCAGGTGGAAGAGCAGAGGGTGGCGGCCCTGGAGAATCAAATATCTGAAGTGTCAGAACTGCTGGGCACCTATGAGAAAGCCAAGCAGAAGGACCAACTGACCATCCAGAAGCTGAAGGAACGCATTCTGCAGCTGGACCTGGAGAACAAGACACTGGCTCTTGCAGCCTCAAGCCGGTCTCCGCTAGACAGCCACGGGGAGGAGTCCAATCTAGACATCAATGTTCTAAAGGATAAGATGGAGAAGCTGAAGAGGCTGTTGCAGGTTGCAGCCAGGAAAAGCCAGGTGACCCTGGATGTGGAGAAGCTCTGCGACCTGGAGAATGTGCCCAGCTCAGAGGCTGCTGATGGCGAGAAGGCTACTGCGCTCTACTACCAACAGGAGCTGAAACAGCTGAAGGAGGAGTTTGAGAGGTACAAGACAAGGGCCCAGGTTGTCCTTAAGAACAAGAACACCAAAGATAGCAATCTGGCCAAGGAGCTGGAGGACACGCAGGAACAGCTCGCAGAGCTGAAGGAGAAGTACATCTCCCTGCGGCTGTCCTGCGAGGAGCTGGAGCGGCAGCACCAGCAGGAGACCGAAGACTGGAAGCAGGAGCTGGCCCGGCTGCAGCAGCTCCACCGGCAGGAGCTGGAGAGGAACCAGCTGGACTTCAGGGACCGCACGCTGAAGCTGGAGGAGGAGCTGCACAAGCAGAGGGACCGGGCACTGGCTGTGCTGGCTGAGAAGGACTTGGAGCTGGAGCAGCTGCGTTCTGTGGCCTTGTCATCCGTGTTGCCAGGCCGCAGGAGCCCTGTGGGTGGCAGCGGTCCTGGGGACCCGACTGACATATCTTCCCCAGATAGCCTGACCCAAGCTCTGCAGCTTGCTGCGGCCAATGAGCCCACTTTCTTCCTCTACGCAGAGCAGTTGGCCCGCAAGGAGGTGGAGATCACATCGCTGAGGAAGCAGAAGCACAGGCTGGAGGTTGAGGTGCATCAGTTGCAGGATCGGCTGCTGGAGCAGGGTGAGCAGCATCGAGAAGAGGTTGGGGCCCTGCAGAGCCACATTGAAAAGAACATCAGGGACCAGAACAGGGAGGGGGCCAACCTGGAGTACCTCAAAAACATCATCTATCGCTTCCTGACCTTGCCTGACACCCTGGGCCGCCAGCAGACGCTCACTGCCATCCTGACTATCTTGCACTTCAGTCCAGAGGAGAAACAAATAATAATGCGGCTCCCAGCCAGTGGTGGCTGGTGGCCTTCTGGCAAGAGATGATGCCATTTTCACTAACTGTTGAAATTTCTGTGCCTCTTATGTGGGAAGGGACAGACTCTGGTTTCTGCTGCCTCTTCTCTTACTCTAGCGTTTATTTCTTCACTGTGGTGAACTGGGAGGCATCTTCAGTGTGGGATGGGATTTTCTGCCAAATGCCATTAATGCCACTTTATTCTTGGGCCCTAGAGATACTTGAACTGTTGGGACAGTATCTTCTGGTGTTTGTGAGTGAGGGGCCTTGGAAGAAAGGTTATGTGAGGTTATTGGGAGAATGTGAGAATCTTTTAAAATTAGGTTTTTTGTTTTAATGCTATGCTCCTGGTGCAAAGCTAGGAGTAAATGTGACTCCCAGGGGAGTTCAGTTACTTTGTCCACACGTGCACGGACTGGCTGTTGATTCTGTTGCATCACAGCCCAAGTCTGGTCCACTGCTGCCCCAATTCTCTGGGGAACCAGGAAGTGTGAATTAGTGACAGGATTGTTTGCTAGTCAAAAGGGCCAAAGAATAATGAGTTGATCCTGGAACCGGGAATGTGTGTCTGGTGAGGTCCTGGGGGTGACTTACCAGTCACACAAAATACACCGCTTATAGCCTGGCAAGGACCCCATGTGCCAGCTTGATCTTAGGGGTTTCCTGAGTGACCTGCTTTAGGCCTAGATTATAGTAGACCCCTTACACTTAACCCTGCCTTAAACTGCCTGCCTAAAGTTGGCCTGAGAGCGTGAGTAAATAACGGTTTGCGCTCCCTCAGTGTTGAACTACCATTAAGAAAATGCTAGCTCCACATGGGGGGTGCGGGGGTGGGGGGTGTCCAGTCAGGAAGCTGTGATCCTGCCTGGAGATGAGGTATTGACGCAGAGATTTGCCCCCATTGTTTCTGCCTTTGTAGGCACAAGGAAGAGGAGGGAGATTTATTGCAGAGGATTTCAGAAGATTGCCATGACCCTCCCGGGAAAGTGGTGCAAGTTCAGCCGAGGCTGGGCTGCACTTCTTTCAGCCCCATGGCATTTTGGCTAAATCTCCATGTTCCTGCAGCCAGTGTTCATGGTTACTCTCACTGGGGTATTTTGCCTGTTCCCTTAGGGAGGTCATTCCTTTAGGGAGTTTCAGGCCACCGTCCTCTTCTCCCCACCACATTGTTCCTCCTTCCTGGGAGTTTCTTATATTTGGTCTTACATAAGTGGATTCATTTTGCACTTAGGACAAGGAGGCTTCTTATCCAGCCAGTCTGGAAAGGAAGGGCCAGAAAAATCAGGTGGAATCCATCAGTCCCCCTTTTCTTTCATTTTTCCTGCTTTTAGGGATCTTTGGGCCAAAAAGATCAATGCTTTGCCACTCACTGGACTAACATTTTTTGTTATTTTATCATAGAGATCTGTTTTGTGAGGGCTTAGGGTACAGAAGACTTTGATTAAATGTTCTGATTGGGATACTGGGTGACTTGGACTATCTTAAAGCAGGGAGCAGACTTCTGGAACAGAAGTGAAGTATTCAAATGATAACAACATAAACCATGGAATCATTAAACTTGACCAGCTTTGCCTGTCTGCTTCTGCAATGGTGTGTACGTATCTGGACAAACAGCGAGGGAAGGTAAACAGTGAACTTACAGGGTGGGAGTACTAATTTATTCTGCTAGTGCAGGAACCAATTCCAGGGAAGAATACCACAGTGCTTTCACCCTTAATTATAGCACGCATTTCTTCCTCTGGAATTGTGTGTATGTGTGTATAGGCAGCTACACCAGAAAACACTTTCTCATGGGTTTAGTGGACAGCTTGAGACTTCCGTAATTGCTGTCTTAAGCTCTCGAAGTAATCTGTGTATGAATGCTTTAATTTTTTTTTAAGATTTTTCTTTTTTTAAGATTTATTTATTTATACAAGCACTGGGTACAGTCAGAAGCACGGGAGGATTCACCAGAGCCAGAGCGGGAAACAGAACAGCAGATGGAAGAAATACACTGCTGAGGGGAGCAGCGGGTGAGATAGGAGAGGTCTGCACACCATGTGGGACCCTTGCCGGCAGCCGGGAATCGAACCGGCCCTGCAGAGGCTGTGGCTAGCTTCGCAGCCCAGTGCTCAACCGCTGCACCACCAGGGGAGGCCCTGAGTGCTTTATTATGTGTAAAATCAGGATTGATGGTATCCTGGAAAAATAACATCAGACTAAACTAAATAATAATAATAATATATAATAAGTAACGCTTTTTAAATTTCCCTACCTTGATTTCCTTTACCATCAGGTATATGATTGCTGTTATTTTTAGGTGGTTTAGGAAAGAATTGAAAGATCTTTAGTCATACCTGCTTTCCCAGGACTAATCATTCCTGTGTTTTTGACTTTTAAGAAGATACCAGGTAGGGAAAGAAGCAGTTTCTCAGTAATTTTACTATCTGAACACAAGGCTACGGCTGCTGCGAAGTGACACTAAAAGACTTGGTCCTTCCTAACCTTAAGGACACATTGAGCCTCAAACCAGACATCAATGCAGACATGCAGACCTTCGAAGTTTCCCATCTCTTGTCCCCCTAAATGAGTTTTCTAGTTATTTGACTGGTAAGTCTACTCTGGGAAAGAAAATGGAAAGAGAAAGAAGCAATCAGAAAATAAATTTTCCTTAGGCCCTGGCTCTAGAATACCAGACAGAGCACATGGTATGTTGATAAGGTAATGACACCAGATCTTGTTTTACTATACAAGTTATAGGAGGATTGCTGTGATGAAGAGATGGAGGGAGAAAATGGGAGGAAGATAAGTTGACATCTGTGAGGGCTTCTGCCTTCCCTTCCCCACTCCTGTTGGGGAACAAACATGCCCACATATCGTGCTCTAGGTGTAGTTAAATCCTGATCTGTCATCCAGAACTTGAAGGTACTCGGCCTTGTGAAGATGCTACGACAGCGTTTGTTTTGACAACTCCTGCTGAGCATTCCAGTACCATCTTCAGCCACTGATGCTCATTAGATCAGTTACTCCTCACAGGCTTATCCCCCTTTTTATCGATGAAGCTGAGATGTTGCATCTACCCAAGATCACATAGCTAATAGATGTCTGAATTGGATCTGAATAGCCCCCAAGCTCCCTTAATTTAGGTGTGCTCCTGTCTTCTCAGCATCTAGGAGGATCAGGGCCTGTCTCCACAGATGATTTCTAGACATGGAGTGATTGATTTTTAGGCTGAACTGGGCTGCTTTTAAATGGAAAATCTTTTACCGTTTGCAACCAAGCAGAGTTCTTACACTATTGCATTGAACAGGCAACATTGGTTCTTCCTAAGAGGTGTGAAGCTGCTCTGTCCCCCAGGATCTAGATCACTGCTAAATTTACAATGTGGATCTTTCTAACAAAATGCAAGGAAGGCTGAGACTCAGCAATTGCTATAGTGTATTCTGACTGTAACCTCTAAAACTTGGAAAGAGCTTTGGTGAACTGGAATACAGTAATCCCCCTATCCATGGTTTCAGTTACCTGCTGGCATCTACAGTCTAAAAATACTATGTGCAGTAGGATATTTAGAGACCACATTCATGTAACTATTATAGTGTACTTGTTCTCTTATTAGTTGTTGTTAATCTGCTGTGCCTGATTTGTAAGCTAAACTATCACTGTTACATGTGTGTAGGAGAAAACCTGGTATCTGTAGCATTCATTGCAGGCTTCAGTGCTGTCTGGTTTCAGGCATCCTATGGGGGTCTTGGACTGTCTCCCCTGTGGATACGGGGTAGGGGGCAATTACTGTAGAAGTCCAATGAATGTGTCACTTTACTCCGTCTTCAACCCCCTTTCTGCCATCCCCTCCAGTGTCCTCTTCTACCACCATCAAACAGCCTGGTTACCTCAGGTTGGGGTTTTTGGAGCAAAGAACTGAAATCCCAATCCAATGTCCCACCCATTGTGACCTTGATAAGTTACTTAATGTCTCTAAACTTAAAATTTTCTCCTAATGGGGGGTACTAATAAGTATTGAAGGGTATAACCTCAGATTAAAGAAAAATGAGGTACCCGAACAACCAGCACAGTACCTAAAACAAAGTAGGTGCTAAACCGCATTGAGAGTCAGTGTGTTTCTTAACCACAAATGTTTCTATAAACAAAAGGAAAACTAACAACTGTCTTTTAGCAAGTTCCTGCTAATGAAGCTGACTACTGGCATCTTGCCTACATTATTTTACTTATTTCCCACACAGTCTCACAATCTCACGAGGCCTATATCTATTTTGCAGATGAAGACATGGAGGCTTGACTGCATGAAGTGAGTTGTGCAAGGTCCAGACCCAGTAGTGGCAGCACCAGGATTTGAACAGGTTTAAGTGAACCAAGTGGCCCAGATTCTCTACTGCCTGTGCTGCCTTCTGGCAGAGGAGAATGTGCCACCGGCTGAGAAGCTGAAGGGCTGTGTTACTGGTATGGCCTGGGGAAGAAGGGCCCTTTGTCCAGACAGTCCTCTCTTCAGCTTTAACTGACAGCATTTTCATTTCTCAGAAAACGTTTCTCTGAGCTCACACTCTATGTCACAAGTCAGTTTTATGTGACTTTGAGTAGTGACAGCCTTGGGACCCAGATCTGGGTAACTTAAATGTCAGGGGTTGTGACAAACCCACAGTGCACAGAGCCCAGCAAAGTTAAAGCCAATGAGCCTCACAAGTAGGGAAACCCTGGCTCTTGACATTAGCAGAGAGATCATCTCTGGTTCAGTGCAAATTCGTCCACCCCCATGGTCACTGCCAGTGGATCATACATTTTCTTTTATGTCTGAGAGAATGAATCTGAAGGTTGATACTAGTATATGGGATTTGAGTTTGGTTTGTTTTAATGTGGATTACACAAAAGTTTTATTAACTGAGGCTGTGTTGTCCACAGTCAAAATATTTTGGGGGTTAGTATTTAGAGAGGTCCACTGTCATTCCCTTAGTTTAACAGCTATTAGGCCTTTGAAAATGAGGCCTTGGTCTGGGCGAGGTGGTGTCGTGCATCATCCACTGGGATGTCTGCCCTTGGTCAGGACTGAAGGAGTCAGAAGGCTACTCTTTTTTTTTTTTAAGGATTTATTTATTGGGGCCTCCCCGGTGGCACAGCGGTTGAGCGCTGGGTTGTGAAGCTGCCAGCAGCCTCTGCAGTGCAAGTTCAATCCCCGGCTACTCCCCGGCCACTGGAGGGGGGTTCCACATGGTGCGCAGACCTCTCCTGCCGCCTGCTGCTCCCCTCAGCAGTGTACTTCATCAGTCTGCCTATTCTGCTCTCTGCTCTGGCTCTGGTGAATTCTCTCACCCTCCCGTGCTTCTGACTGTACCCAGTGCTTGTATAAACAAACAAACAAACAAATAAATAAATAAATCTTTTAAAAAAGGATTTATTATTTATGCATACAAGAACTGGGGTACAGGCCAGAGGTGCAGGGGAGGAGGGTGAGGATTCACCAGAGAAAGGGTGGAGAGCAGAACAGGCAGATTGACTGAAATACACTGCTGAGCGGAGCCGCGGGTGAGACAGGGAAAGTCTGCTGCGCCATGTGGTTCAGCTCCCTGGCCAGGGATTGAACTCATGCTGCAGTGGCAGTGGATAGCTTCGCAGAGCTGAGACTTAATTCCTTGTGCCACTAGGGAGGCCCTGAAGGCTGCTCTTATTTGTGTGGATTTTGAGAGCCTATATAACTGGTGAGTTTAAATTTTCTAAAACTAGTCTTCTGCACACTGTTCTCTCTACCTTCAAAGTCCCTCCCTGCATCCATCCTACCCCCCTGCAATAAAGATCTATTCTTGCAGACTCAGTAGAAAAAAAAAGACACTTCCTCCATGCTGATTTTTCTGCTACCCAACGATGCTCAGGTACTTCCTTCTCTGAGGTTCTTCAGCACTTTGCTCACATGACCTTGGATACAATGGTTTATGCTTTCAGTTTAAATTTTCTTCAGTTTCTTGGACCACTCTACAAAGCCTTCAAAGTCATGCCTTACACCCTATTCATCTTTGTGCTCTTGGGACTTTCCCTAACCTGGCGCATACCAAGTGCTCAATAAATAAGAGACTGAAAATACCAAACTTGCACCTGCAGACTGAGAGATTGAACTTTCGCTAGTACTCCTTCTCCCACCATGCTGCTTCCCCGCTAGTTTCTTCATTAGCCACTTTAGTGACCATGCTTTGCTTCTATTGGTCTCTAGAAATAGGACCACAGTTGACTTCAGGCAAAAATCAATCCCTTTTGCTCTTAGAGAGTTGGAAAACTACTCCTTGTACATCAGGGAGTCCCTTCTGAGTCATGAGGATGACTACTGGGAAAAGAATACAGATGTGGCAGGTGCTCTGAGGCTTGGGTGCAAAGCCAAACTTTGGGCTTCAGGTGGTATTTTTTTTTTAAATATTTATTTACTTATTTATATAAGCACTGGGTTTAGTCAGAAGTGCGGGAGGGTGAGAGAATTCACCAGAGCCAGAGTGGGGAGCAGAACAGGCAGACTGACAAAACACACTGCTAAGGGGAGCAGTGGGCACAGCAGGAGAGGTCTACGTGCCCTTTGGGACCCTCGCTGGCAGCCGGGGATCAAACCGGCACTGCAGAGGCTGAGGGCAGCTTCACAGCCCAGCGCTCAACCGCTGCGCCACCAGGGGAGGCCCCAGGTGTTATTCTTGATGAGGACCCTGGCTTCTGTCAGGATGTCCCTCAGTGTGTCCCTGTGTCTATGGGGCCCCTGTAGTCAAGGGGGGAGGGATGTAGAACAGGCATGTCTTATTTTATCTCTCCAGGGAATTAGGGATCTTCTTTCTTCCTACATGTCCTTTTACGGTTGTGGCAAAGTTCTTGGCACATGAAACTTTGTCGTCTCTCTGCTGCCTAAGTTTCATCATAATCAGAAAAAGATGATTGTTTTCACTGAATTTACACTTGGTCCAGACCAGCACCCGGATTTTGGAGAGGGACTCACCAAGATACACTTGCCTGGAATGAGGTTAAGAGTCAAAAGTGGCACTATTTTTTTCTTTAAAATCTTACTAGGGAGGGCCTCCCCTGGTGGCGCAGCAGTTGAGCACTGGGCTACAAGGCTGCCCGCAGCCTTTGCAGCGCAGGTTCGTTCCCCCAGCCACCAGCGAGTGTCCCACCAAAAAAAAAAAAAAAAAAAAAAAAACTACTAGGGAGTGTTCCAGGAGCCCCTTCAGCACCTTGGTCAGTACCTGTGCATGACAGGGTGGTCAGAGTCAGTGAGTACATGGATATGGAAGGAAACAGCATTTTTGAGCCATGCTTTGCAGACACCTGGGCCAGAATCACTTACATCAGCAGTCCCTGGTCAGTCCACCATCAGAATGACTCAGACCATATCTAGATGCTGTACACACCCCAAAAGTGACTCTTGTGATCTTTCTCAAGTTGCTGTGACTGACTTGGCCAACAGTTCCTGATACAGAATCAGAGCCTGATAACCAACCACAGGGCTCCACTGACCTGGTCTGAGGGACACTGCTCCTGCACCCTCTCTTTCCTCTCCCTTTCTGCCCTGTTGCTTCTCCAATAAAAGTGATAATTCCTGCCCCAGAGTTGCTTACAGCCTGTTGGAGTTTACCCAACATATTCATCCAAACTGTGATACCAGAAGGACTCTGTACACTGAGAGTAAAATGGACAAAGATCATGGGGGCAGAAAGTGCAGGGAGTGATCCAGGGTGATGATGGAAAACTTTAGAATATGAAACTCAGTGTGTCTCTAAATCTAAGGGGCCTTGAGTGAGATGACCTAGATCAGATGACTTCAGAAGTACATCCCACACAGAAGAAAGGCATGGACTGAAAGGTTGGACTGTACAAGTCCACTAGGTTTGGTATTGAGGGAGGGTAACACTTATGGAGTCACATGATGTTAGATATGAAAGGGATATATTAGCGCTTGTATGATCAGCTCCTTAATAGAAAAGGGAACCAGAGCCCACACAGAACAAACCACAATTTGTGGTTTATGAGCAAAGTAGAAGCTCTTGTCCAGAGTAATGAGTAGTGGCTGGATGACAGGCAAAGGGGGGCATCAGACGGTTGGTGGATTTGTGCGCCATGGGTGTTTGGGAGCAGAACAGCAACAGGCACAGAGTTGGGGGGCCAGTGAGAATAGCAGACAGCAGCTGCATTGATGTGTGCGTCTTCTCTTTCCTCTCCTGTGGCCACTCCTGGGTCTCTTAGATAACAAGAAGGGAAAAAGGAGAGACCTAGCAGGATGGTGATACTGATTTGTCCAACTAAGGATAACTTACCCAAAAGTACTCACCCATGTGGGCTGATGTTTCTAGATCTAAAGTTCACCCATCTGTAGGTGAAGCCTGAACATTTAGGTTATATTGCTATCTATTCATCAATTCATCAAACATGGTGAACTAGTACTCTATTTCAGGCACTCTGTCGAGCACTAGAAACACACCCTATCGATGTTTGGCAACAATCTAGGTCAAAGATTAATGATTATAATTTAATGGCAAGTGCTATAGTGGAGGACGTCAAGGGAGGGACAGGACATTTGAACTCAGTCTGTAAGGAATCAGGAAAGCAAAGGGAAGGTGACACTTGTATTTGCGAGACTGGCACCAACTAGTATTCATCACATGGGTGGGCAGCAGTGGTGGGAATGGGTATGGAGCATGTAGCTTAAAGTGGACCAGCTTATTCAATATTTGTTAGAAATCCCTTTTTGGGGTCTCCCTGGTGGCTCAAGGGTTAAGCACCACCAGGGGGCAACCCACCTGGCACAGCAGACCTCTCCTGTCTCACCCCGCTGGTCCCCTCAGCAGTGTATTTCAGTAGATCCACCTGCTTTGCTCTCCACTCTGTCTCTGGTGAATGCTCTCACCCCCCACACCTCTGACCTGTACCCCAGTTCTTGTATGCATAAATAAATAAATCTTAAAAAAAGAAATACCTTTTTGACTCAGCCTTCCTGAACTGCAGAGGCGAGGAAGCTGAAAACAATGTGATTTCCGTTTGCAACTAGGATTCAGAGGTATTTGAGGCTCCATCAGAGATTGGAATTAGGAAATGAGCTTGGGGTAGAGGTTGCATGGAAGGCTGCTTTCTGGAGTGGCTCTAAGAGCGATGCATGGCTCTGGAAACAGCAGGTACTGAAGCTTTCTGTGCCCCAGATCCTGGCGAAGGGGGTGTGACTCCCAGGCTCCAAGCTGTGTAGCTGGGAGGGGATGTTATCCATCTCAGTGAAAAATGATGTTCCCCTCTCCACCCACTTGCACAGGATCCTGACTAGGTTCACATGTTATATTTAATTATCGTCTTTTTAAAATCTTTCATCTGAAACAGTTCATCACCTTTTCATTGTCTTTAATGACACTGACACTTTTTAAGAATACAGCCCCTCTTTTAATAGATGTTTCCTCCTTTTGAGTTTGTCTGATGTTTCTTCATGATTGAGTTCAGCTTATGTATTCCTGTCAGAATATTATATATGTGATGCCATCTTCCTAGGATTTTACACCCAGAGAAAAATTCTATCGACTGCCTCCACTGGTGATATTAATTTTGATACTTGAACAAGGTGTCTGATTTCTTCACTGTATGATTAATGTTTTCTGCCTTGCTATTAATAAGTAATCTATGGGGCGACACTTTATGACTATATCCTGCTCATCAAATGTCCTCAGCAAAATTTCCTTTCTACATTAGCATCAACTGATGATAATCCAAATTTAACTACTTTCCTATGGTGGTATTCTCTAGGCAAGAACCCTGCCTCCATCACTTATTTAGTGATTTACTTATTACCAGTAGGGACTGATGGGTTCCTATTTTTCAATAGTTTATAATTCACTATTTTATTTAATTTGTTCAAATTTCCCCCAGATTTGGTAAGAGTCCCTTCACATTCCTGTGTTCTGTGACATGCCCCCTTCATTTTTTGGAACACTTTCCCACCTTCTGGCTTATCTTATAGCTCCTGTGTCCCAGTCCTGGGGTCGACTATTTCTCTGGGAATCCTGGGGTTCTTTTAGTGGAGCCTGGCATTGAAATCAGAATCGGAGAGCTATGTGAGCTCTTTGCTATTAGGGTATCTTTGCTCCTAGGTCCTTACAGCAGACAATCTTGGGAAATAGGTACTTAGAGTGTATCCACATACACATCCATGCAACTGTAAAGTCACATCCACACCCACACTTTAAGATCAAGCGTTCACTTGAATATCTCCAATTCCAATCCACTTCCACAGTTTCCCCTCCATCCTTCATTCTGTATATTTCCTATCTTCAACTCTAGGCTAGAACCCTTTAGTGTTTCATTAATATTGCACATTTCATTAACAATGAAAAAGTGGACAGCATGAAAAGAGCACATAGAGACTGGCGAGAAACAATCTGAGGAGGAGAGGAGAGAGCCAGCAAAGGAGGGCTCAAGTCAGAGGGGAAGGGAGTTTCACCAGGGAAAGAGGTCTCAGCCCCTTCAAGCCTTAAACTCCTTTTTTTTTTTTCTCTATGTAACTTAACAAAGGGTTATTTTGACCCTCTCTTCCAATAGCTGCCCACAGACATGCTTCTCTTTATGCTGCATAATTGGGACATTGTGCATTATAATTTCATGTTCTGCCTTTTGCTTGTGATGACCTTGTAGCATGAGTTGTTCTTGGTCCCATCCCTCCATTCCTCTCTCTTTTAATGGCTCTACTGCTAAAAGAGAGAAGACCTCTTTTCTTCTGCCTTCTATGGCTTCCTTAGCCACTCCTTTGCACCTTCGTCAGCTCCTATCCCCACCACTCTCCAGAAGCAACTATGACTGCCCTTACAGTGTCTGCTAAACTAACAGCTATGGAGTTGCCAATAACCCATAACAACAGCAATTTCATATGGTTTCAATCTCATATGTGCCATGTACTGTATTTACATGTATTAGTTCACTTAATCATCAAAACAACCTTAAGAGGTATCATTATCATCATTATAGCAGAAGAAACTGAGGCAACGAAAGGCAAATAGGGCCTCCCCCGTGGCGCAGTGGTTGAGTGTTGGGCTGCGAAGCTGCCCGCAGCCTCTGCAGTGCCAGTTCCATCCCCGGCCACCGGCGAGGGTCCCACATGGCGCGCAGACCTCTCCTGCCGCCCGCTGCTCCCCTCAGCAGTGTACTTCGTCAGTCTGCCTGTTCTGCTCCCTGCTCTGGCTGTGGTGAATTCTCTCACCCTCCCGAGTTTCTGACTGTACCCAGTGCTTGTATAAATAAATTAAAAAATTAAAAAAAAATTTTAAAAAAAGAAAGGTTAAATAACTTGCTCACGATCACATAGCTAGCAAGTGGGAAGTGCAGGACTTGGAAGTCTGGTTTCAGAACCAGCTTCATTTATTTTATATCAACTTGTATTGCTTTGCTGTTCATTTTCAAAAATATATAATTTTCTTCA